AAAAAAAAGGATTCCGAGCGCCTCCCACGCGCGAGCGGTTTGTTAGCAACGGAGTATCAACCTGTCTTATTAATCAATGCTCCTTTGCTCATAAAGCACTCGCGTGAGAGGTTGTCGAAAGCGTTTCTGTACTGGACTTCATCTCCTAATAACCAATTTAACTAAAAAATCATTAAGGACATGAAGCAGAAACTTCCAATTAGGTGGCTAGCACCTGAAGTGCTCAACTCGGGCACATACTCCAAGAAAAGCGATGTCTATTCGTTTGGAATACTTTTATGGGAGGTAGGTGTACATCACTAACCATTAAAATGATTTTATAGAATGATTTAAGTAGCTCAGAGGAAAGATGCTTCCATTCTCTTAAAGTTGTGATATTTAGATCTATAAGGATGCAGAGTTACCTTATGCTGACATGACACCACAAGAGGTGACGGCTAATGTAAGCACCATAGTTTTTACCTTATATGATAGGTAATGTCTGATAACATTAATAGATCATTAGAAGTATTTTGAGCAAGAGTATTAAAGATACCGTACATTTAGTAAATTGATAACTTAAGGTAATAGCCGGGTACCGGCTGCCTCCTCCACCAAAAATGCCAAAATGCATACGTATGATAATGTTAAATCAGTGTTTTCCTGGAAATCCTGATGAAAGAAGCAAAATGTATGAGGTAGGAATCTAACTGGAAGATAGTTTTCAAAATTATTGTAGCAACTACTTTTCTAGGTTCGAATAGCTCTTGAGGAAGCAATGCAACCGTCGTCATCGCGATTGACATAGCTTGTATTGCTAAAAGCTTTGCTTACAACGAGCCAACATAACTTATTACTTGTAAATGATCTACAAAAATCTTTTACTGAGATAAGCGTTATTCAATCTCAATAAAAATTAATTTCTATATCTCGTCTAACTTTGAAGATCCTCAAACTGTTTGAGTTTCGTATAGCATTCGTTCTTATGGAAGAAATAGGGAGTAAGAAACATAGTGAAATGGTAACTTAATCTGCACAACATGGATTTATTCACGGTGTTAATATAAAATGAATGTAATATTGAGGCAAATATTGCATTATCCATGTTGTTAGAGCTTTACAATTGTTGAACTACTTCCTGCTGTCGAAATGATTCACGTTCTGAAACAAAATCGGGCTAACGTTCATGCAGTTCTAATAAGAAGGTTTCCGAGCATTCGATCGATGGAACAAATTTTATAGCATCTTAAAGTGAATTTCATACTCCTCTTAGTAGCACAATGAGCTGACGGAATAATGTTACTTTGAGGTTTGATTAAAAATTTTCTCGTCTTTTCACAATATTCTCTTACGTTTCGTCCAGCTGTCTTTATAGTATTTGATGTTCCCATTTTTTTTTACATTGCTCAATGGCCTTCCGAACCGAAATGAGGCTGCAGTGGCCTACCACTGGGCCATATGGCTGCTTCACATCTCGTACGTTTGTGTTGCATGATCTGATAAGGAACTAACGTTGTTGTCTGAGATTACTTTGTATTATTCGCTGCAGTTAAGTAGGGATGGAGCTACACAATACACACCACAACTGGAAATATGAAACAGTATATAAAAACAATCTCAAATAGAGATCAGCATGATATACTTCTGCGCTTGGGCTAATCACAGCGACTAGGCCTAGCCTAATCATCAATATTTGATTACAGGAGAAAGCACTACCAAGATGCAAGGTCATCCTTGAAAGCTTTAGCTTGGCAAGCTCGAGATGGTTTCAGAAGATTCAATAGTCGTTATCACCAGTTACTTCACATGACCTTGTTGTGCCATCTTTTCTTAAATCTCAATTCTTGTTTATAATGTTATTTTGGTTTATATTCAAAATCTAATTGCTCTCTATAATAAGTGAGAAAGGCATTGGGCTTTCCGAAATATTACGCCCACTGTCTGGTTACGTATTACTCCTCTATTTCTGCATTTTTTCAAACGTTTATGGTTCATTGTGCAGGGACAGCTTGAAACCAGAATACTCCTCATAAAAGGATCTGTAGCTTTTCCATTGCACTAGGATTACGGTATAAGGCTGTAGGGGCTATAGCGCTGCGTGATGCACCGTATTGGCATTGGCAATTTTGAAAAATGCTGGTTTGCTGTTAGGTTATCTGGTAAAGTCCAATAATACCACCAATCAAATAGTAGGATTCTAAGATCAGGCTAGCCTTTCGAAATGAATCATCAAAGGAGAGATGATCTAGAAATAAAACAATTATCAAAGATCAGAGTACTTTTTACTTGAGTACTTTTTACCAAGATATGTTCTTTACCTAGAAAACTCAGCCTTTTAGCAAAATTTTTAAAAAGTCAACAGATTTCCTCTCATATAGCATTTTCGGTCCCTAACAGCCTCGTGAGCGTTTGATTAAAACTATAAAAACATTAATGGTACCCGCGGTGTCCTTGTAGCGGAATTGGTGCGCCTTTGTCGCGTGGGTATCGTGCCAGTAATCGCTAACTATTCGTCCTCGATATTGACGTGCCAGTCATTTGGCGTTATAAGAAGTGCTTACAGGCTTTTCTCCACCGTACACGAATTGTTTTCGATGCAGTGCGAAACCTGACAACTCGATCGCGTAATCCAATTAGACTCGCATTAGACTCAGTTGTAAAAAAAAGAAGAGAATGAATGACGTTTATTGTTTGGTGTAGCAAGTGACTGATGCCTACAATAGTAATTTTTATCATCAAGTTGAACAAAATTAAATTATATTCTATTGTGTTGCGCATTCTTGAGATTTTCAAGCAGAATTGCCTTAATGTACAGGATAAAGTAGATTATTTACGGTTCTGACAAAAAAAGTTTTTCTTGTTATCATAGCACAAAGCCAAAGTAGGTTAACTAATCCCTATTTCGCTCCACAAGAAATATCATTTTCCTCCAATTCCCACAACCTACACGCTTCTTAGCTTTCCAGATATGAGCTTAGACCGCGGCGGCAGGTCTCCGGAGAGCAAGCTGGAATTCGTTTTTGTGGAAAAGGTAAAGGAGAAAAAAAGATTTAGTTAAATCCGTTCGTCTGCTTCTCAAAGGATTGAAAGCCTGTGGTGAAAGTGCCTCAATGCCTCGAACAAGGAACTTGGAACGA